TCTCACTATCTCTTTCTCTGTCAAATAAATAAATAAAATCTTAAAAAAAAAAAAAAAAGACACAGGCGCACCCCATCCAGCCTCCTGTTCATGATCCTGCCTGGCAGACAGGCCCAGCTTTGGCAACCCAGGGCCCTCTGCCATCTCTTCCTCCTCTGGCCATAGTCATCCTCAGGAAAGCCAGCTCAGCGACCCCTGAGACCCCTCAGAGATCAGCTCAGAGCCTCCTTGACCCTCACCCACCTTCTCTGCCTTCCTCCTCACCACTCAATCCACCCCCTCTCCCCAGCCCTAAATCCTGCAAATGGCTCCCTGTTGCCACTCAATTAACAACCCTACCTGCCTCCCACAGTACTCTCGTTTGCATCTTGGGTTTCAGCCACCACCGAGGGCTGAGCATCTCCACGCTGGCTTCCTCTGAGCTTTTGCCAGGGCTCTTCCCTCCATCTGAAATGTCTCCCCTGTCCTGCATTCAGTCCAAGCCTGCCCTCCTTGCAGGCCAAGGTCGGCCATCCCCTCTTGTGGGAAGCCCTCCTACTCCCCCTTGCCTCCCCTTCTCTCTTGGTCTGCCCTTCCCTGGGCAGGGCTGGGTCTTGTTCCATTTGTGGTCCCAGTACACACAGTAGGTGCTCTGTGCACACGTGTTCTATCCAATGGAACCGTTGGTCAAGGGGTTAAGAGTGAACTGAAAATTGCAAGCCATAGGTTATCCAGGGTTGGCCCTGGAGCAAAGGACCATAGATGGGAAGGTTGGAGGGGGAGCAAGCCACCTGGAAAATCCCCGTGGTACTAGGGGCTCTTCATCCTTCTGGAAGATGAGGATGATTTCTGTGCCTGGTTATAGACAGGGAAGTGATTGCCCAAGTCCGGCAGAATGGGTTTGAATCCCCACCAAAGGCTTCCTAGCTATGTGACCTGGAGGGAGTTCCTTCATTGGTCTCAGCCAGGAATGTGGGGGAGCGGGGATTTGCATCCTGGCCTCCCTGATTCTGCAGCCTGGGGAGAACAGGAGCTCCCTCCAGAGAGGGGTCCTGGGCATGTTCCCAAGGGCAGGTGTCATACCAGCATCCCTATTCTGGCCCTTGCGGGTGACACCAGCCTCTCTTGCTGCTCCAGCCCCTCCGCCTGTCTTCTGCCGCTCTTCCTCTTGAGGAGGCCAGCTGGAAGGACATGGGAGGGTGGCTGAACCCCTGCCACTAGAAGCCCTGCCCCTCACCGCCACCAGGTCCCAGCTTTGGCAGCTCTCCGTACCACAACGCCATGGTCCGGCATTGACCGTCTGGGACGCGTCACTGGGTGGGTGTGGGGGTGCAAGGGGTAAGGCCCCTGCTAGAATCCAGAGCAGGTGAGATGAAGTCATTGTAGAAACTACAAGTTTGGGCGCCTGGGTGGCTCAGTTGGTTAAGCGACTGCCTTCGGCTCAGGTCATGATCCTGGAGTCCCGGGATCGAGTCCCGCATCGGGCTCCCTGCTCGGCAAGGAGTCTGCTTCTCCCTCTGACCCTCCCCCTCTCATGCTCTCTCTCTCTCTCATTCTCTCTCTCAAATAAATAAATAAAATCTTTAAAAAAAAAAAAAAAAAGAAAGGAAGAAACTACAAGTTTTTTGAGGCTCTCTCTGTGCCAGGCTCTGGGTTACGGCCCCCCACATGAGCCGTCCTTGAAGGTCTCTGTCCCAGGCTCTGGGTCACAGCCGCCACATGAGCTGTCCTTGAGAGTCACAGCACCAGCACTGTTATGGGTCACCGAGGGTAGCATGAGGAGTGGTCAGAG